TAGCTATATCTGAACCGATCTTCACCAAATTTGGCATACTAGCTTCTAGACTCAATTCGGTCGTATGTGCCAAATTCCATCCCATTTGGACAAATATTAGACGTTTGGTAAATCGGACGAAGTGATATATGGGAGCTATATCCAAATCTGAAGCGATCTCGATAGAATTTAGCAAAGGTATTTCTGAGCTGTATTTGATAAATTTTCCCAAATATTGTTGTTACAGAGTGCATAGTATGGCTGCGGAGGACACAAATAACAAATCGGATAAACAATATATATGGGAGCTATAGCTACATCTGAACCGATTTCTATCATTTGGTTGTATGTGCAAAATTCCATACTATTCTGGCTGATATTACACGTTTGGTGCACAATAAAAAGCAAATCCGACGAAGATATATATGGGAGCTATGTCTAAATTTTTACCGATTATCTCCAATTTCAATAGGGTTCGTCCTTGGGCCAAACAAATGATTTGTGCAAAATTTCATCTCAATCGGATAATAAATGTGACCTGCATTTTGTTCACAAAAATACATGTACAGACGGACGAACGGACAGACGGACTGACATGCATAAATCAACTCAGAATGTGATTCTATGGAGATCCTCAAAAGTAACTATGGGTCTATCTCTCTTCCTTCTCCCTGTTAGAAACAAATGCACAAAGATATAATACCCTTACCTGTGGTGTAGGGTATAAAAACCATGAAGTGTGCCCTGATGTTTAGCGCCAAAGTGGCTTTATAATTCTGAAATTTGACTCCCTTTTGGTGAGTAAGTGCTAATTTATAGAATTCGATTAAAAGGGCAAATGTAGGGGTCTGGGCCAAAGGTACTTCCAAAATGGTAAATTTTCAAATATTTTTAGTACCATTCCTCCTCCCCCGAAATTCATTCCTGGGTAAGTCTCTGCTATCAGCAATCGTTATAAAAATATTAACTATTATCCTTTCATAATAAACTCATTTGACAATATACGAGTTGAGGTATGTGTTTAAAACATCCATTAAAAAAGCCATGCATTTAATTATTTCCCTTATTAAAATGCCATCAGCAGGTTGCTCATTAAACAGCATATGGCGTAAATTGCATTATCATTCATGTCCCTGTGAACACAATACCTATCATCCTCATCGATGACAATGTATGAGTAGTCCGTTTTTAATAGTGTGTTATTAATTTCAATTACTTGCATATTTAGACCCCGCAACCATCAAGGAAATATTTCCTTATAGAAAATAATGGCATACGTGAAGAATGTTCAGCCATGGCTAGCATATATGGAAGCAAGAAATGACAAATGACCAAAAGGTGAAAAAGATCATGGATAATTTTATAAACTATTAGTATGCCATTATTGTGAACGATTTCTAAGTACAAGTTAAGGGGAATATTATGATTCTGAACTAATAAACAGTATATCACGACCACCCTATATATAAAAGAGCAGAGGAATAACTGACCGAGAATCAACGTCTGGTCGAGAGAGCTGAAGCTAGAATCTTGAAATTTCGCACAACACTGAGTTTTGGTACGTAGGTGTGTGATAAGATTTGGATATTCGTACCAAAAGGATACGAAGTTACTAAAATAAAAAACTAAAAATACCATCCACAATTTGGAAACAAATCGCCAATTTTCAAAAAAAAAAAAAAAAGTAAAAAAGCTGTAAGTTCGGCCGAGCCGAAATTTGAATACCCTCCACCATTTGGTACAAATTCTCTTTTAAAATCTTAAAAATACCGAATGTAGTCGGTATATTAGGGTCTATACGACGACGTGGACCTGCATAGGCAACTTTTGTCATAAGCCATTTTGAAATTCATATGCGAAACTTTAAAAAAAATTCGGTAAATAATGTGGCCAAAATCATCAAAATACCGAATATGGGGAGGTACCATTATCTCGAGGTTATACCAAATCGTGGGCGTACTTGGAAATTTCTTAAAATTTCTTGATTTGAACTTTTTTCTCTAGAGACTGTTAGATTTTTAAATTTTTTACGTCTGATTAAATATCGGTATATGAATTCCAGTTCGTCTGCCCGTGTATTTTTGTGAACAAAATCCATGTCGCATTTATTATCCGATTGAGATGAAATTTACCAAACAATATTTGTTTGGCCCAGGGACGAACCCTATTGAAATTGGTTATACTCGGATCAGATTTAGATATAGCTCTCATATATCTTCAACCGATATCGGGTTAATTGTGCACCAAATGGCCAATATAAGTGCAACTGACCTGAATTTTAGTACATCCGACCAAATTCAATCTAGAAGCAACGAGTACATTGAATTTGGGGAAAATCAGTACAGATATAGCTATAGGTCTCATATATACAGGGTAAGATGAAAAACTGCAACCAATTTCAGACTGCTGTCATTTCTATGCTACTCATCCGACAGCTGTTAAAATTTTTCTAGTGACAGCTCATTATATTGTTTACAAGTGAGAATTTTCCAGAAAAAAATTAATCGAGATGGAATTCGCCGGGAGTGGGCCAAAATACCGCAAAGCAACATTCGGGCAGCGTGTGACGGTTACATTTTGGCCGTTCAAAGGCCATTATTCGTGCCAAAGGTGACCAATTCGACAAAATCTAAACATATTCTAAAATTCGTTGCTATTTTCAATATTTTTGCTTTTATTCAATAAAATTTAAAAAAATGTAAATATTATGGCGTTTGAATTTGTTGCAGTTTTTTATCCGATTGGATGTTTAAATCCTTAACCTTCGTAATATGCATTCGACAACAATTTTTGGTTCCAGATGTCAGATATAGCCCAGAAATACATCTGCCAAATTGTTTCAAAATCGGTTAAGATTTGGATATATATCTTCAACCGATTTCGGCCAGTATCAGCCCACATGACCTGAAATTTGGCACATCTATCCAAATATAGTTTAGAAGCAAGTACATCAAATTTTGTAAAAATCGGTTCTGATATAGCTTTAGCTCCTAGATATACGTTTCATCCGATTTGGTCTTTAGGTCCTTTACATTCGTAATATGCATTCTACAACAATGATAATTGAAATTATAAAGCTCGGAAATATCTCTGCCAAATATGGATATAGCTGCCATATATATCTTCAACCGATTTCGGGTTAATTTCGCACCAAATGACCAATATCTGTCCAAAAGTCCTGAATTTTGGTTAATCCAACCGAATTCAGTCTAGAAGCAACTACATAGAATTTGAAGAAAATCGGTTCAGATAAAGCTATAGCTCCCATATATATGTTTCATCCGGTTTGGCGTTTAAGTCCCTCACATTCGTAATATGCATTCGACAACATTTAACCATTGCTAAATTGTATCGAGAGAATTGAGATCGGTTATGATTTGGATATAGCTTCCATATATATCCTTAATCCGATTTAGGTTTTATAATGGCTAATATCAGCCAAAATGGAGTGATTTTCGGGACGTACGTTTCCATTTTGTGGAACTCGGCTCCGATATATATTTATACCCTACACCAACTGACCACCTTGTGTCAGGTTATTATGTCTTTGTACATTTCTTTGTAACAGGCAAAAGGAAACGAGATAGACCCATAGTTCCTTTTGATGATCTGCATCGAATCACATCCTGAATCGATTTATGCATGTCCGTCCGTCCGTCTGTCCATGTATTTTTGTAAACAAAGTACAGTTCGCATTTATTGCCCTATACGTTTGAAATTTTGCACAATTCATTTGTTTGACCCAAGGACGAACCCTATAGAAATTGGAAATAATCGGTCGAAATGCAGATATAGCTGCCATATATATCTTCGTCCGATTTGCCTTTTATTGTGCCCCAAACGTCTAATATCAGCCCGAATAGTATGGAATTTTGCACATACAACCAAATTAGGCCTGAAAATAAGTATGCCAAAATTCAATCGGTTCAGATATAGCTATAGCTCCCATATATATTGTTCATCCGATTTGTTATTTTTGTCCTCCGTAGCCGTAATATGCACTCTGTAACAACAATATTTGGGAAAATATATCAAATACAGCTCAGAAATACCTTTGCTAAATTGTATCGAGATCGGTTCAGATTTGGATATAGCTCCCATATATAACTTCGTCCGATTTACTTTTCATTGTGCACCAAATGTCTAATATTTGCCCAAAAATGATGGTATTTGGCACATACGACCGAATTGAGTCTAGAAACTAGTATGTCAAATTTGGTGAAGATCAGTTCAGATATAGCTATAGCTCCCATATATAATGTTCATCCGATTTGTTATTTTTGTCCTCCGCAGCCGTAATATGCACTCCGTAACAACGATATTCAGGGAAATATATCAAATACAGCTCCGAAATATATTTTCCAAATTTTATCGAGGTCGGTTCCGATTTGGATATAGCTCCCATATATATATCTTTATCCGATTTCAAATTAATTGTGCACCAAATGGGCAATACAAGTCCGAATTTAAAAGATACAAATGCTTCGGCATATTTAGTCCTTTGAACTTTAAATTATAATTATAATCATAGCGTGTATGATTGAATTCTCCCCTAATTGAATTGTTATACTAAATTAACAAAGTGGTGTAGGGTATTCATAAAGTCGGCTCCGCCCGACTTTAACACTTTCTTTACTGGTTTTTATATAATTTTTCTCCAAGTGATATAGCAATGTTATTTGGCATAAAAGATTAAAATGTCTCCGTCAAATTTAGTGGTCATAGATTCAGAATTGGATATGCCTCCCATATATTAGAAACCCTCTGAAACCAAACTATAGCTGCCCTAAAGCCAAATGCTGATAGGTGGTATGATTTACTTCAAATAAATTAATTTTGTTACGGGAGGTCTACTTAATATGCATAGTGGTGTAGAGTATCATATACTCGGTCCCGCTCGACTTTTGACTTTTCCTTACTGATTGTATTGTAGCGCTGAATTTGAATCACTCCAAAGACCGGATCACGACCATTTGTTTTAATAAAGTTTACAATTTTACAGAAAAAAAGGCGTCACTTACCTTTTTCATGAAGGTCATTACATTCGTTGGTAACATGTTGCTGCTGTTGTTTGTTTTTGCGTTATTTTCTATAGAGAACTTCAATGTTGTTGTTGTTGTTTTTGATGTTTTTGTACAAACACAATTTTATCTATTTTTATATGTGGTACTCCAATCTTCTTCTATGATTTGTATAAATGATTATCAATATCAAATTAACAAAATATTCAAAGAAAAATATTCACAACTTTGCATTTCTCTGGCACCGGCTCCGGTTTCTTTGTTTTGTTTTTGTTATTTCTTTACAATCTTCGTCAATATTGTCACGTTCATTTTTAAATTGATATTCTGGTGCAGCTGAGATTCGAGTCAATCCTTGTCTTATCCATCAAGGACATCAATGAATATAATTTGAAAATATATATTCTTCATGTGATTCAAGGTATTGTTGTGACCGTTGCTACAATTCACCAACGAACGAAAAAAAAATAATCTGAAAAGATAAAAAAGAAATCGGAATTAAATTTGGTGCATATGCCACACATATTTTTGAATATAATATTCCTGAGAAATATGGAAATTCTTAGGAAATGGGAAACATGTGAAATATTATAATTTTCTAAATATAAAATAGCACAAGAGATTGGGAACTGCTTATCTGGAGATACACATACAGCGCGAGATGAATAAAACTGCAACCAACAACAGACTGCTGTCATTTCTAAGCTACTCGTCCGACAGCTCTTAAAATTAACCCAGTGATAGCTCATTATATTGTTTACAAGCATACAAAAGCATTTTGGTGGGAATTTTCCAGAAAAAAAAATTATTCGTGATGGTATTAAAGCGTGATAGTGTGATTTCTTTATATTTGGCTGGAAGACCACAAGTGGCTATCATTAGAGCACTCCAGCACCTAAATGTGAATAAATCGTTTGTGTCTCGTACCATCGCTCGTTACGGTGATACTCTGGTAGCATAGCCCGACGTCAAGGAAATGGCCAGAAAAAATCAGCAACATCAACAGAAATGGTTCCAAAAGTAAAGTAGCGACTCGATCGAAACCCGCGTCGCAGTTGCCGAAACATGGCTCGTGAGCTGAACATATCACAATATTCCATTCGGCATATATTGAAAAATGAACTAGGGGCAAAGCCATTGAAACTCCCAAAAGTGCAAGAACTTACACCGCAACAGAAAGACAACAGAAAATCGACTCAAAAGAGCTAAAGAGTTGATTCGCTAGGCCGAAAGTGGTGAACTGCCGAGTTTGGTTTTCTCTGTGTCCGATGAGAAAACATGAGTTGTCCTGCAGTTTGTAAACAAAAAAAAAAAAAAAAAAAAAAAATGATCGTGTTTACTCGCCAAAGAGAGGTCAGCTGAGATTGTGAACCTTCGGTTGGCCACCAGAACTCAAGCGCCATCAAAGCCATGGCGATGGTGTGGGCCGCCACAACATCCGATGGTCGCTCTCTGCTCGTATTAATCGACCGTGGCAGCAGAATAAATATCGAATATTATCGCGAATATATTTTGGAGGGTGTATTAAAGCCTTGACCACGAAAAAATTTTGGCCGCAGACCTTGGACATTCCAACATTACTCAGCACCATCGCCCTCAGCACGCGCAACCTAAGAATGGTTACAAAATAATGTTCCTCGCTTCATTTCCAGCCCACAATGGCCACCAAAATCTCCGGATACCAATCCGTGGGACTATTGTGTCTGGAGTATTTTGGGAAGCAAGGTTGGCATTAAAAAATACCAAAGTGTCAGTCACCTGAAGCAAGCGCTTCGCCGAGAATGGGTCAAAATACCACAGAGCAACATTGGGACAGCTTGTGAGGGTTTCATTGGCCATTTAAAGGCCATAATTCGTGCCAAAGGTGACCAATTCGAACAAATCTAAACTTATTCTAAAATTTGATGCTATTTGCCGACATTTTTTGCTTTCATTCAATAAAATTAAAAAAAAATAAATAAAAATTATGTCGTGTACTATTAAAGTATGGAAATACTAAATTTGGTAATAGGTTAATGGATAGCATTGAAATTGAGGCATCTGTAGGTATCTGAAACAAATATATGGAGGTACTTCTTTCATCTCACCCTGTATACACACATATATGTGTATATACATGGACAGACAGACGGAGGGACGGACGGGCGGACGGACATGCATAAATCGACTCAGGATGTGATTCGATGCAGATCATCAAAAGGAACTATGGGTCTATCTCGTTTCCTTTTGCCTGTTACAAACAAATGCACAAAGACATAATACCCTGGCACAAGGTGGTCAGGTGGTGTAGGGTATAAATATATATCGGAACCGAGTTCCACAAAATTAAAACGTACGTCCTCCATTTGGGCACATATTAGCCATAATATGCACAATACACCTGAAATCGGATTATGGATATATATGGAAGCTATATCCAAATCATAACCGATCTCGATTCTCTCGATAAAATTTAGCAAAGGTTTATTGTTGTCGAATGCATATTACGAATGTGAGGGAATTAAACACCAAATCGGATGAAACATATATATGGGAGCTATAGCTTTATCTGAACTAATTTTCTCCAAATTCTATGTAGTTGCTTCTAGACTGAATTCGGTCGTATGTACCAAAATTCAGGACTTTTGGACAGATATCATGTCATTTGGTGCACAATCAACCCGAAATCGGTTGAAAATATATATGGTAGCTATATCCAAATCTGAACCGACGTTGATACAATTTGGCAGAGGTATTTCCGAGCTTTATAAGATGTCTGGTATCAATTATCATTGTTGTCGAATGCATATTACGAATGTGAGGGATCTAAAGACCAAATCGGATGAAACATATATCTAGGAGCTAAATTTATATCTGAGTCGATTTTTACAAAATTTGATTCACTTGCTTCTAGACTGCATTCGGATAGATGTGCCAAATTTCAGGTCATGTGGGTTGATACTGGCCGAAATCTTAACCGATCTTGAAACAATTTGGCAAATGTATTTCTGGGCTATATCTGACAAAAAAGTCAAACGCCTTTGTTTAACTCAGGGGAGTGGGGGGAAAGGCTTCGATTAGCGGCAGCGACAACAAAACTCCCCATAGTTATTATGTGTGAAAGATGAGTTGTGTAGGTGAGAGGTTTGGTGAGGTGCGGGTGATACGCGTGTGTGGTGTGTAAAAGAAAGACAAAATATAAGAAATAAAACACAGAAATATAATTAGTGTAATTCAATATAAATTCATGGTTTTATTGGTGATTCTTTCTTTTCTAAACGACAAATTACCTTCAGTAATTGGGGTGGCGACAGAGGCCGTGTGCTTTCGCTTCTACAAGACAAGTGAACGCAATGCTTCTGAGTGACCGCTGAGGGTCCCATGTCTGTCAACAATTACAACTACAACTACTTCCAATGAGAGCAAGGTGAGCCTACCAACAACAATGCCCAGCGACGATTCGCTCACTACGGTCTCCGCCAGGGGAGTTGTAGAGGAGATGCCTGTGCGCCAATCAGCATTTGTGATTGATCGAGCATTGGAAAGTTGTGGTGGAACGTATAGAACTTATACAGCCATAATATTTACATTTTTTAAATTTATTGAATGAAATGAAATTGAGGCATCTGTTGGTATCTGAAACAAAGATATGGAGGCAGTTCTTTCATCTCACCCTGTATACACACATATGTGTATTCGAGAATCAGAGAGAGACAATTTTGTGAAAGAAAAAAAAACTGAGTTTTTTTCTCAAATCCTTAAATTTTCCATCCTGAACTCAGTTTTCCATTCCCATTTTAGTTTCTCTTGAAATCTAAATCTTGTCCTCTTCACAGCTTTGATTAAAACTAATGAAATTGATTTTAACTTTCAATTTAAATTCACATTTATCTTTGGAAGACCTCCCCAGAAATCTTGTCTTTATTATTCCATTTATTATTATTATGAGCGTGTATCATCAAATGAAGGCAGAATCATTTATTTGTTGCTGCTGCTGCTGCTGGCGTTGTTGTACCGTCCTGGCCAGGCCTGCTCAACAAGTAGTTAAGTGTCCCAACACCCAGCTTAAATGATTTACATAAATCATTTACCAGGGGTGGTGGGGAGTGAGTCCGCTTGTTGTCACATCAACCAGCCAGCGACACAGCTATATTTACATATACACCCATACATCCATCCCTTCATTTACCCATACATACATAAATGTTTGAAACATTTCGTGTAGCGTCGTTTTATTTGTTGAATACATGAATGATTAAGTCTACAGGCGTCGCTTGGCATATTTCGGATGCGGGAGGGCGGTCGTGTCTGGTAAAGGATGTCCCTTTTTTCGGTGTGTTTGCCTAAATTGCATACGAAACGTGACGTGACTTAAAGTGATAGAAATGTTTTCGTGTTGTTTTCTTATCAGAAACAATTTTTTTGTGGCGTAGAAAGGCCGATTTCATGACAAAAAGGTATTTTTTGGCATTGTTGAAATTATTAATATTTTTTTATATTAAAAAGACTATATTTGTTTTTATCTTTAAAAAATGAATTATTTTATTTAATATACTTTCATAATTGTCATTTTCATCTAAGGCGATTTTATGTTTTCTCATGGAAAACTCTTATTAATGAAATAAAGTTCAGGTGGCCTGAATTAAAATTCTCCTACAGAGAGCATATTTAACCTAATCTGAATGAAAATGTTTTTGTGAAAAACTAACATATTTTTTATTTTAGAAAAGTGTTACACCAAAATTCACAACAAATCTCCCACAAAAAAATTAAAAATCTCAAAAGTTGCGGAAATTAAATTGAAAAAACATATCTCATACGTATGAAAGTAAAAAACCAGTAAAGAAAGTCTTAAAGTCGGGCGGGGCCGACTTTATGATACCCTACACCACTTTGCTAATTTAGTAGAGCTCCGCATGAGAATTAAAAGTTTTATGGGAGAATTTAATCATACACGCTATGATTATAATTATAATTTAAAGTTCAAATGACTAAATATCCCGAAGCATTTGTATCTTTTAAATTCGGACTTGTATTGTCCATTTGGTGTAAAATTAATTTGAAATCAGATAAAGATATATATGGGAGCTATATTTCAAATCTGAACCGATCTCGATAAAATTTGGCAAATATATTTCTGAGCTGTATTTGATATATTTCCCTGAATATCGTTGTTACGGAGTGCATACTACGGCTGTGGGTAACAAATATGACAAATCGGATGAACAGTATATATGGGAGCTATAGCTATATCTGAACCGATCTTCACCAAATATAGCATACTACCTTCTAGACTCAATTCGGTGTGTGCCAAATTCCATCCCATTTGGGATGGATATTAGACGTTTGGTGCACAATAAAAGGTAAATCGGACGAAGTTATACATGGGAGCTATATCCAAATCGGAATCGATCTCAATAAAATTTCTCCATATTTCTAAGCTGCATTTGATATATTTTCC